TTAAAAAAATAAATAAAAAGAGGCACCTAAGAACACAATTATAAATTAACCAGAAATAAAAAGTGAGCTTTCTTGGACAGAGTAACATCTGGCTATATATGACCTAATTTGAAGACAATAAGAAGCTATCCAATTTCAATAATCTAAAGTAAGTATGTAGAACCCATGGTGCAACCTTTAGCTGTGAACTCAAAGGGTGGAAGTTAAGAGTCCACTCAGGCAGAAGGATGCCTCTGAAGAAAGGCCTGATGATCTCCTTCCAAAAATTCAGCAACTGAAAACCCTATGGAGCAAAGTTCTACTCTGGGGTTTTCCATCAGTCAGGGTTAATTCTACCACAATTGGTTTTGGGTTAAAATATGTAGTTGCTACAACAAATAATAAAATTGGAGTCTGTATTATTTTTGTGGTTTGGGAAAGGAATGATAATTTCAATTCAAATACATTCTGAAAACAAAGACCAAACACCATTGCTATTGAGTCAGTTCTGACTTGTGGTGACTCTATGATTAAGGACAGCATAGAGGGACTTTCAGGAAGTCAACGACCTCATCTTTCTCCGGTGGGGAATTTAAGGTACGAACATTCCAGTTAACAGGTCAATGTATGTCGAGGGCTCCTTAAATACAAATCAAATTATCATTGAACTTCAAAAAAAGAACCTTGCTAGAAATACTAAGTCTTAAATTATTTCAATGCTATTTATTTCTTTTGTAAATTTTTAGAAGTATAAAGCCTTTCAAGTAGAAGTACCCAACCGCCGCAAATGACTTCAAACTAAAGAAGTATTCCATGGGAAAACAGGAATGACTTTTGGGTTCAGCAGTATGTGAATTTTTTTTTAAAAAGGGCGTTTTTTTAAAAGGTCATTTGGGGCAGACTCAATTGGTGCTGGAGTGGGAAAGTGAGGGCTGAAGACTTTAAACTTCCAGGTAATGGCTACTCCTGTGTCTGAACTCACGCATTTGCACCCAAGGATTCTTATTACACACCAAATATGAAATCGGCTTCAAGGGGGTCTGTGGGCCTTGGAAATACTACTCACTGTTAAGATAACAATAATCCTTCAGGAAATCTTCACTAAAATACCGCCCATTTTATCATAAAACGAAACCCACTGGCGAGCTGATTTTGACTCACAGGAACCCAATACGAGCACCAACACTATGGAGTAGATCCGCCCCATGGGGGTTCCAAGGTGGTCATCTTGCGCCTTCAGAGGTTCCAACTGCCCAACCGTTGGTTGGCAGTCTAGTAGCTCACTCGCTGCACCACCAGGGCCCTTCCTTTCATCACAGCATGCGTAAAACGTCACCAACCACTTAACCGCCCCTGAAAATGTTCCATCACTATGTTCCTAAGCCTGATGAAACTGAATCCGTCCACAAGACTATAAATCCTATCTGGCCCAAAGGCTCAAAATGCAAAATTAAATACCGAAAAACACATGGGCTCAAACATAAGGACAAGGGCGAGTGTTTTGTTCAGTGTAGTTCTGTTCTGTTGGACGTCGGTTCCCTGGGAGCCGCAGCCAACTCGAAGGCATCTAATAACAACGCAGACCTGCAAGCAGTTGAGCAGCAAGAGACAGGGAATTCGACTTCAGAGGATCGAGGCAATCCTCCCAATGGATTCCCTCAGGTCTTCACGAAACTTCTCAAATGTTTCCACACGAAGTGCTCTCCCTCGTTGGGGCGCTTATGAAAATGACTAAGAGAACACTGGAGAGAATCGTCGAAATCACACAAACGCGAAGTCCTTTACAACACCGTTTCGTTGCGTTTGGGATCCTAAGCATAAAACGAACATTGTTTTAAAAAGTGGAACCGGTACACCCACCTAGCCGTCTTTACTGGTTGCAAAGCCACCATTACTTATGGGCACACTATCATTCCGTTGCAAAGCCACCATTACTTATGGGCACACTATCATTCCGTTTTAATCACACGAACTTTCGTGTGTACTTCCACTCAAGCGAGTCCCAATGGCGGCCGAGGCGTACGTTAATCGGAGCTCTGCAGATTTTCCTGAGGTGGGAGAGGTTTCAGGGGAAGGATGCAATGCGGCTTCAGACACAAACGCTTAGGCCTGAAACAACAAGTTCTTAGGAGGGGGCAACTGACGGCGCGTCGGTGTCAGGCGCGCGAGACCTCGGGCAGCGGCGGCTCGGCAAACCCCCAGCCACAGGCCGCGGTCTCCGGCCCCCACGGCTCTACGGCGCCAGCCGGAACCGCCGTCCGCCCTCCATCCTCCCCCTCCTCCGCTCCCTCACCGTCTTCGCCGGCCGCCTCGCTAAGCTGCTGTATGTGGGCCTGAGCCAGGTCGCCGAGCTCCTCCACCCGCTTGACCACAGTGGAGTCTGCGGCCGCCATGGCCACAACGGAAGGGCGCGCCCCGGCCACGTGACCACACAGCCAACGGTCACCTGACCCTGGGCGGCCGGCCGGGCGTGAGGGCGGGGCCTGTTGGGCGGTTGGGCGGAGCCGCCGAGTCGGGAAGACGGCAAAGCTCGGGATGGCCAAAGTGGATCCGGAGTTATTTCCTGCTCCCGGCTTGCCGTCCCGCCCACCACCCAGAGCCGTTGGGAGGCCGTAGGGCCGGGGTATGTCGTTGGGACCCGCCTCTCTCCCGCCCGCGTCTGTAAACCAATGAGGAATCAGCCAGTTCCCACGCGGATCCAATGGGTAGCTAGCTCTTTTCGCGGGGCGCCAGGAAGAAAGCGCGGCAGCGATTGGCTGGCTCGAGGGCAGCGTGGCGTCGGCGCCCGTGCTTTTCTCTGTTGCTGCTGCTGCTGGTTGTTGGCAGGTCAGAGTGCGGCTGCGTGGAAAGGTCCTGCAAGGAGATTTCTGGCTTTGCCCTTGTGGTGAGGTGGTTGCTTAAAATGATCACAGAGAAACTGGAAGTCTGACGGCCTCTTTGTAGCATTCAATTCTTGGAGAGGTTATTCGTCTTCCAAAACGCTGTTGGAACTTTCCAAAGATTATTTGAGTGTCCCTTTCCCCAGTCTGAATTTTAGCAGCTGTTTGTTTTATCGCTGATGCCTGAGTTGGCTCCCATTTGCAGTACTTGTGCCGAAACTTTGCAGCTGCACAATTGTTTCTATTGCCATGTATCTTGAGAGCCCTCCCTTAAACGTTCCTAGTGCATGAAATTTGACCTTTCAAATGTGGGCTTCAAAGTTCTCAGCCATCGAGTCTAATTTGCATTTTGAATTTCCTGACTGCTTTCAAATGATCAAAACAAAACCTGGCGGTGCTGTTAGTTTGGCATCCTACGTCTTGATTGATCTCCATCCTGTATTCTTGATGGAAGATTTAACAATATTTAATACAAAATTCTAAAAAGGCAAGTGCGTGTGATGTGACTTATAAGAGACAGACAACAATAGTTTTCTGACATCTAAAACAGGAATCATAGGTTAATTATGTGTCTTCAGTGCCCAGTCTGTCTGCCACACAGTTCTCAGAAAATTGTAACTTTAAATATCTTACTGAACACATGCTATCATGTAGTGTTGATATTGCTGTCTTTATCATGAGGAAGCTAAAAGCCAAGAAGGTTGCATGATCAAGGTGACACCTGAGAATGCCCGGCCTCACTACATATATACCCTAAACAAAATTCCCAGTTCCAGTAAGTAGTAAATAATTGTGAACTTGAGGCAGGAAGAATACTTAACATGGAATTTCTGCTAAATTGATACTCTGATGTGTACATAGCCGTAGAAAAAGAAGATCTGAGACCATGTAGACCAGATGAAACGCGATAAAACTATTGACCCTTACAAATCTTAGACTAGAGGACTGTGATTTGCCCAACTCACTGACTGCCGACCAGTCAGTTCTGACTCAGTGATCCTCTAGGTAGAACTTGCTCTGTGAGTTTCGGGGACTGTAACTCTTTGAAGAAGTAGAAAGCCCCATCTTTCTCCCAGAGTGGCTGGTGGTTTCAAACTGCTGACCTTTTTATTAGTAGCTCAATGCCAAAACCATTATGTCACCAGGCCCCCTGTGACTTGCCAAAGATCGCACCAAAATCAGCCCTGTAAGTAGTCTCCTACTATAGAGGTAACAACAGCCAGCTCTCAGCAATATATACTAAAAAAAGTGCTTTAGGCCAGAGAACCCCTGCCCTGGAAAAGAAATATGAGCAGTTTTTCTCCATTTTGTAGTCAATTGTTTTTTACTTTAGGAAGCCAAATGAAAATAAAGTACTATTTAAAAAAATAAATTGGTAATGTCATTATCATTGTAACAAAAAAATATCTTCTGAAACAATTAGTTGATCCCATTCATGTTACTTCCTCCCATTTAGAGTTAACTAAGCAGAGATCAGGGTGCCTGGTTCTACAGTGGGTGAAGCACCAGGCTGTAACCAAGAGAGTGGTGGTTTAAACCTAAGAACTGCCCCATCGGAGGAAGCTGAAGCGATCTGCTTCCTTAGTGGTACATAGACTCAAAAGCCCAGGGAGCAGTTCTGCGTCTGAGTCACTTTGGATGGCATATCCACAGCAATGGGTGGTGGGTAAGCAGAGGTTCGTTTCTCAGGAAGTTTTAACTTGAGTGCCTCTGAATTAATAGAACTTATAACTTGTACCATTCATCGAGACCCTTTATTGCTTTATATTTTGCATGTGGGTCCTATTTCCTTATAGTTTTACCCACTCCAAGTAAATAGGGGTTGAATTTTTTTCTTTATTTTTAGTTATCACCAGTAACTCACTAATAGCTTACATAGTCTTGACGATTCATGGTGACCCATTGTATGTTAGAATAGAATTGTGTTACATAGGATTTTGAATAGCTGGTTTTCCAGAATTAGATTAGACCTTTTCCAAGGCACTACTAGGTGGACTTGAACCACCAACCTTTTAGTTTTCACAGCACCATGTAAATATTTGCACCACGCAGGGAATTCCTAACTTGCATATATTAATTAATGTGTTCTCTGGAGTCAATACGGACTCATAACTAGTGAGTAAGCCCTCTAACGCACTGCCATCTGGTGAATACCAACTGACAGTGGCCCTCTAAAGAGAAAAACATTTTTTTACTAGCTATCCTCTAGAACAGCTATTCTCAACCTTTGGGTCACGACCCCTTTGGGGTCAAATGACCCTTTCACAGGGGTCGCCTAAGACCATCAGAAAATACATTTCCAATGGTCTTAGGAACCAAGACACTGCTCCTCCGTCTCCAGGTGGGTCCACACACATACAGATATGCTCATATACGAGTACCCGGTGTGAAGACTTAGTACCCATGCTCCACCATGCTTCAAGACAAAATTTCATTTATTTGTAATTAGAAATAAATATTTCACAATATAGAATTACATATTGTTGTTGTGATTAATCACTATGCTTTGATTATGTTCAATTTGTAACAATGAAATTACGTCCTGCATATCAGATATTTACATGACGATTCATAACAGTAGCAAAATTACAGTTATGCCGAAGTAGCAACGAAAATAATTTTATGGTTGGGGGTCACCAGAACACGAGGAACTGTATGAAAGGGTCGTAGCATTAGGAAGGTTGAGGACCACTGCTCTATAGAGTTTCCATGACTGTAAAGGTTTACAGGAGGAGACAGCCTCATATTTCTCCCCTGGAATGGCTGGTGGGTTTGAATCACTGACCATTCGGTTAGCAGTCCTGTATTTTTCATTTAGTGGCTCATTATTGGGGAAACAACAAACAAATTCACTGCCTTTAAGTCCATTCCTATCAAAGGGATACTGCAGGACAGACTAGGCCTCCCACTGTGTATTTCCAAAACTAAATCTTTACAGGAGTAGGAAACTTCATTTTGCTCCTGATTTCATATTGCTGACTTTGCAGTTAGTAGACCAAGGAAGGCATCACCCACTCTTCCACCAGAGCTCCCCACTGTGCGGCTGAGGGTCCTCCACACTGCAACGGGTCCTCGGGAGCAATGGCTAGGTTTGTCGGGTGACAAATGCCTCGGTCCTAAGCTTCACGGGAGAAAGAATTCACGTTGGAAGCTTCGTTTGTGATCCAAGTGAGCTTTTATAAAGGAGAGAAGAAGTTTCAGGTGTTACACAGGCACTGTGAGGGCACTTCACACGCACGCGTGGAAACCTGAGGCCAGGGAGAACTGAAGCAACAACGGGGAGCAGCAGCTGGAAAACAGGGCAGTGGGCTGGCTCTTGCTTCTGACTTTCTCAGGCCCTCCGCTGGGGGGCGTGGTCAACGGTACTGGTTGACCCCATTAGCTGAATTAAGCTCACCTGGCCTAGATTGGGGCCCTCCCAAGAATACTGGTTTCCTGTCTCAAAGGTCTGGATTTGTGCATGCCCTCCAGTCTCTATGGCTGTCTGGGCTCACCCGAGTCTCTGCAGCAACCTCCATTAGGGGGCGCCTTGGCATAGAGAGGGACAACTCCCTATCAGGCTACCTAACACAACTTTGCGACTGTGGAGAATGATAAAGACAGACTCCTTATCCCTATGTCAGTAACAAGCGTAAGCGTATTTTCCAATGGATATAGATAATGGGGCTTACGTTCTTTCAAAAGGAATACATGTCATACAGCAAACATCACAGTCAGTGGGTAATATGATAAGCGGGTAACATAATAGTGAAATGACTCAGTGTCTTGACTTAGTGCCAGTTGACCTCGGTTGCCCCTGAGCGATCCCCAGGGGAGAAATCTGTGATTTTTATTAACAAGAGATGTCAGAAGAGGGTTTTCAAAAATGAGGACCTAATTCGGGGGTTTAAGTGGAGAGAAAATGTTTTGAGAATTATGTACAAATGCGCTTTACACAACTGATGTGTGTATGGATTGTGCTAAGAGTTGTATGAGCCCCTAATAAAATGTTTAAAAAAAAAAGAAGAGGGTTTTCTACGTTTTATGTTGGGTTGGGCTATAGAACCTGATTGTTCTTATCTACAGATAACCTCCAGACACAAGGAATGGCCAGATGCAGGTATGAGACATGTTTTATTGTAGCTCCTTTATTATGAGTCCTTTATGGAGGGCAATTGGAAGGATTGCACTCAGTCATGAGAATATGTATTAAGATTATCTATATCTCATTACTGTGAGGGTCTTCCCCCACCAGAGGTGGCCTTCCAGTAATTTTGAGCATAGAGGATTTTGCTGTATTACATTCTCATCTAGTCCCTCTGTTTACCACACCCCACTATTGGGTTGCATGCTGTGATAAGCACTGAGGATATGACAGTAAATAAACATCATCCCCGTCCTCTTATACCATATTATCTAATGGTGGGAAATTGAGACACAATAAAACAAAATCCACTGATACGGAGTCAATTCTCATTGGGTTTTCAAGGCTGTGTGTTTTACAGAAGACTACCACATTTTTCTCCTACATAGTG